AACCTCAAACTCTTGGGCTTAAGCAATTCTCCCACCTCAGCCTCCCAAGTAGCTGGGACTACAGGCGCCTGCCACGACACCAGGCTTTTTGTTGTTGTAGTTGTCATTGTTTGGCAGGCCCAGGCTGGTTTCAAACCTGTCTGCTCTGGTGTATGTGGCTAGCGCCCTAGCCACTGAGCTACAAGTGCTGAGCCCTAAACCTATATTTCTTTAGGATTGCTAATGGAGATTTGTTTTGTTCTTTGAGAGGAATATTTTCCCTTGTTTCTTTGTGTTTCTTGGAACTTTGTGTGATACCCATACATTTGGAAAAACTGCTACCTCTCACAGTGTTTACAGACTGGTTTGATATAGGAAAAGACCATCTCCTGTCAGCCTAGGGTGGCACTCTGGGAGGCTCTCAAACCTTTTCTGTGGATCTGCCTTCCCTAAACTTATATGTATAGATTTCTAATTAGAAGTATTTGCCAGTTTGTTTCTTTTCTAAATGTGATAATCTCTTGTGTCCTCTTATCTGTCTCCTGTGTCGGAGGGCCTCTAAAACAGTAGCATGCTCCCCTTGTCTTTTGTTCTCATTGGTCCCAGGCATATATAGTATGCCAGGTCTAGTCAGTACTCCATGACCAGGGAGATGGAAAGTGGTCCCGGGGCAGCTCCTTGAAAAGCAAAAATGTTAGATGCACACTCTAGTCTTTTTTGTTCCCCCAAGGGAGTGGTCATCATCCTCTGTCTTTAGTACTATGGTTCCTCTGGAGCAGCAACATGCTGCCTAGCTCTTTTGTTACCATGTGCTCCAGGCATGTAGAGTTTTCCAGGTCACGTCAGCACTTCAAGATAGGCAAAAAGGAAGTACATACCTTGGATAGCTTCCTCCAAAAGTCAGAACTTTGGACATACAAGCCAATCTTTTCTCCCCTGAGAGAAGCTAGGAGCTTAGAGTTTACTTCTAATTACATGATACTGTTAATGGGAGGGTATCACAAATTTTCTTACACTTTGATGTAGCTAGTAAATCTTTATTTTTTCCCCCACTCAAATCAACAAATACCCTGTGCCTATGGTTTCATCCACCGTGCTCATCCAGTCCTTTCAGAGTGAATACCAGGAGTTCACTTGTTATCAAAGACCTGCGGATATACTTGCATCTTTATTACTTTTATGCTAAAAAATTCATTATAAAATTAATAGAGGCCAAATTTTGTTTCTGCTTACCTTTCTTTGGGTGTAGACTCTACCTTTTCTAATTCAGAATCTACTTACTACATTTGGTTTGATATTAAAACAATCATCTGGATTAAAATAAAACATACTGCTTTAATATTAATAATTTTATCTTCCCTTTTCTTTTTTTTTTTTTTTTTT